CCCCAAAACCCCAAAACCCCTAGCATTAAAAGATTAAAAATTTAGTAATTACATTATGATGGATTTAATTATAATATTAAAACATGAAAGAGATTTTTTCAATGAGGTCTAAGTCTAAGTATGGGAAAAATTTCTAATTTTAAACAAATAATCAACTAATAAAATTGATTTTTGGCTTGCTAGTACTTTATTAAACTGCTTTTGCTTAATCTGAATTGATAAGTCAAGAAACTAAGCCTTTTTCTAAATCATCCTTAATGAATTATTAGAGATCATTATAGAACTAAACAACAATCGAAAATGCAAATACTAGCATTCCAGCAAATGATAATGAAAACTCTTCGGAATCAACAAATAACACATAGAATAATAATACTGATTAAACAGGCAATAATACAAATAATAGTAATTAAACTGATAATCCATAAAATAATACAGTACCAGATCCAGTTCCAACAACTAATCCAACTGATTAGAATAATGACTCTGAAGATGATAGTGAAACTGATTGTCTAAATTCGAAAAGCAACTGTACAAACTTTGAAATCTACATGGCAGAAAACAATTATAAGTGGGTGACCTACAGTCAAGATGCCTAAGTATCTACACTTATAGCAATAGTCTCAATAAATATAACAATATCAATTCTCTTTCTATTTTGTAATCGGAGACTACATAAAGGATAGAAAAAAAGAAAATAAAAGAAGCAGCCCTAGAAAGATGAAAACTTTAATATTCCCAGACCTATATTCCCCTTGAAACCGAAAGCTAAGATTGGAATAAGGACTAGTATATCAAATAATGAAAGCAAATATAGAGTGGTTTAAAATACTTCGATAGTAAATGACAACAGTTTTTAAAATAAAACCTTGACTGATCAAACTCTTGTTACTCAAATGAATGAAGAAGATAGTAAGCATTTTAAATCTTTATCAATTTATAGTTTTGAAAAAATATGATAGCATGAGAAGAAGATGATATATAAATGGACATACTTTGATATAGAGCTCCTTTGTAGTTTTAGTTAATTTCTTGATTCTCTTTCAAATTATTTATTATCAATTTATTACTATTGTCGGGGTTTTGGGGTTTTGGGGTTTTGGGG